AAAAAAAAAAAAGATAGATATAGAGAGAAAAAAAAGATCGAGGCATGGCACCAGCAAGACAAGTAGCGCCGCTGGCTGAGCGCCCGAACCGTCATATATAAAAGCCTTGGCAATGATCGAGCCGAGAACCAGTCGATTTCGAACCCCCTTACCGGTTCGAGCTCGCCGATATGTAGTCTTCCCTGCTCGGTCGCGACTCGGTTACTGCAACCACATCCCACTCTTGCCTTTTACACCTATATACGCACGTGCTCGCCAAAGACACGCGCGACTTCTCATCCATAGTGTGTGGGTGTCCAAGTGCATACGCGTGTGCCAAAGGCCGATTTTTCATTTATTTTTTGGTTTCATCAAAGTGGGAAGCTACCGATCGATCGGCCGATTTGCCGCTCGTGTGCACGTACGATAGTGTGTGATTTTGAGTTTCGGTCGGAAGAAGAGACCGAGGCCTCGTGCGGTTATTTTCGCGCAGCCTCAACCTTGCACGAGAATACATTACTGCAGCGGAGGCAAGTCGGTGGTGCACCTTTTTTTTCCCCCCTTGGCGAACCAACGCACCGAGGGATTCGCTCTGCCGCGGGGGCTTCTTTTTTCTTCTGTCCCTCTGTACATGTACATATATACAGTGAGTACTTGGCGTATTTTTAGTCGACGCTTTTGCACGTGAGGGCAAATTTTTTTTTTTTTTTTTTTATTTACTGCCGCTGAAAAGTTTTGGTTGGGTGTGTACGTATGTATGATCGATTTGTTTTTAAATGCTTGGCGATTGGACGTTTGCCAGGATTTCGTAATAAGAGGCCGTGCGCGTCCTGTTGTTGTTTTTCGTTGACGTTGCTATTGTTGTGATTTGTAGAGCCGATGATGGTCGGAATCAAAATAGCTGGGATGGAACGACGTTTGCTGGATTTTGATGATTCGGGTGATTTTATTATTTTTAATCATTTTAAATTTAAGTGTACATCAGAAATCGGTAAGGAGTCAATGACGCGGTGATGGGCTATTTTTAGTTGAAGAAAACATTTTAATCGTTGGATAAAAAAAAAAAATACCGAAACCTCGAATAATCATCGTTTCATAAAACCGATCAAATTAATTACATAGTTTGGATTGTCCCAACTGCTTCTGTTTTTTTTTTAAGATTTTTTTTTCTCGTCGATAATGTAAAATAAGATTGTGCCTCTCGCACGCGTGTTACATGTGATCAAGTAAAAACGATTGGTTTGAAATGTAATTGTCTAAGAAAAGCTAAAAAGTACTTTTCAAATATATGCCACTGCATGCGAGTTTCTTAAACATGGCTATTTTTTTGCATTTCATCCGCAACTTTTCGAAACTTCATTTTTATTATTTAAGTGAGCTTTGTTAATAACAATGTCAATTTTAATAATTTCATAATAGTTAAAAACAAAATCAAAGCTCTAACGTTTCTCCTTAAATAAAAATACCAACAATACCGTTAAGTAGGCGTTTTTTTAGAGGATAATCGTGAAAGTTGGCAATTAATTAATTAGCTTTTGCCATTCACTAAATTAGAGCAGTGAAAATGTGCATTGTGTTGGCAATTAATTGACTCGAAAATGTATACATAGCCTACAGCCTTATTTCACACGTGAATAACAATGTTGGGAAACTAATTCCAGAGAATCTATCACCACTGAGTAGATAAAAAAACAATTATTTAAATTTTTCACGAGAAGCCCTCAAAGACAAACATATGACTTGTCACTGATACTATTATATTTAGTAAAATACCTTTTAATTAATTTCATTTTTTTTCTTCACCTGTTACAACGATTGTATAATATGTTTATCAATTATGATACTACGAGCATTTAAAGAATAAATGCTCAAACATGAGATAACGCGTATGAGATAACGTATACTTGAATGTCAAAATTTTAAAACTATCTACGATATTTACATAGTTTTCCAGAAAATACAAGGCTAAGAGTCGTTATTTTACATTGTAGGCTTACATGAGGTCCAAATATTTTTCTCAACCTCACTCCACATAAATACAAATCACTGATAACTTTTTGCCTTATCGTACGTGTATTTAAAAATATGTAAAATTTTTTAATCCTTGTTACACTTTATTTTAATTTTTGCAAACAATCTTAGTACTTTATTTACCGCCTCCAAAAAAAAAATTGTGTACTTAGTCTGTTTAAATCAGTCACTGCGGTATCAGTCAAACAACGAGACAAACAAAAGAAGCTTTACTTTTAGATGAAAAAATTGTAGGATAGCTATACAAAATACAATAGATAACAGCATAAAAAAATTATGTATGTGTATTTAGATGTTGCTCGAGGCATCTATGATAAATACCAGCAAGACTAAAACCCGTCGTTTGGTATATCAGCTAAAATCAATAATGAAACATTACGATGTAAAAACCATGAATTTTTTTTATTTTATCTTTCATGTATTTAAGAAATAAAGTAGTATTTTTCAAGTGTTTTCGATCACCCCCTGTCTCTCCCCTTACAAAAGTCAAACAAACTTCCTTGTAGAGCTTTTTATCTTACTAAATTTACCGCTGTTATGTTTATGTTAAAAAAAAATTGTTTTTTTTTTT